TTTTTGTTTGCAATTATATATTACAAATTTGAAATATTTCGTATAAGATAGGAAAGGTTCATTGACGTAAGTCACATTTGGAGTTCACATTGAAAATTGCAATTTTACAGTTAAATATTGCATTTTTCTGAATGCTATAATAGCACGTTCTTTCTCTTTTTGTTTATAATTGTATGTCACGAATTTGAAATATTTCGTATAAGATGCGAAAAGTTCACTCACATAAGTCACGCTTAGAGTTCACAGTTTTATTATCAAATATTGCATTTTTTTTTTGAATGCCACGTTCTTTTTTCCTGTTTACAAGTATATATTAAAATTTGAAATATCTTTGCATAAAATGTGAAAAGTTGACTCACGTAAGTCACGTTTAGAGTTGACAGTGAAGCTTGCAGCTGAAGTATCCCCTTCACGTGACAATATTGTCAAATTATGCTTTTACTTTTGGTAAGTAAAAGAGAACATAACAACCAGTTGACGTTTCGACTAAATAGAAAATGCGTTATTACTACTGCTGGCGCGAGTCACGTGAATTATGTGAATCCGTCAGATCATTCATTGTTAGAATTTGTTGGAAAGGAATATTAATTACATTATTTTACATTCTAACATATACAAACAATAATATCGTTAAAAAAAATTAATTAGAATTATTTGCATAGTAAAACAACAAAATCTTATTATTTATTGTTTTTTATTAGTCCAAAAATAAACTTTTCAAATTTGAGGTCATTGGGAAAATGAATTAATTAAGGAAAAGATCTACCAAAATTGTTATGTTTTAGAAAGGAAGTTAATTTGATGAAATTGCAAATGCTTCTATTTGGCCAACTAAACAAAACAAATTGAATTTTGGAAGATTAATTATTGAAATGAATTTATGAGGTGAAAAATGATGCATCTCTTTTAATTGTGTTTGAATGTATTGGTTTTGCTGTATTCATGCAACTTTTATTAAAAAGATTCTTCCTGATTTGATTAATCGAATATGGTATGTTGCCTTTTAACATCAAACATTAATCTCACAGCTAATTTTTTCATATGAATTGAATATCAGTGTTTATTTTACTTACCGATTCTAATCTACGTCCACATTGCGTTTTTACGAATAAAGTTTACGTTATTTTGATGACGTTAAATAATATGGTAATTTCAACTCTTCGTGCAGATGAAATTTTAACTGTCACATTATCTATTAAATCGTGCATGTAGAAACAGAATTTTAACTTTCATGTCACCTATTGTAAAGCGTAAGTTTATTTTCACGTCATTTTCTGATGTTGTATAAATCAATAAAAAAGTGCAGACAATTAAATTTGTGTTAATTTAGATTAAATTTATCATTAAATGGCTTCAAAAAATAGCGCTACTGACGATACCAGTAATATTTCTTGGCCATTGATCAAATATACGAAGCTTGTTGGAGCACGTTTGGTAATTATGTTTTCTTTTCACTAATATCGTGAAACGTGAAATTATTAAGAATAGGCTCTTTCAACGTTGCATCCTTTTCAGCAATTTTTTTTAATAAAGAATTTAGCTTAATTTTCTAAAGCTCTTTTTTTAAATTGTCCATCACAAGTAGTGGCTTTCAAAAAATTGAGGTATTATTTTCATGGGTGCAGGAAAAATGAATCTTGCATACTCGTTGAGCTGTATAATATCATATTAAGCCATATGATAGAAATAATTTATGTCGGAATCTTTTACTAAAATGAGAGTTGCAATATTTGCAGGAGATTCCGGTAGCATCCGGACAAGTATTGGTTATTATTTACAATAAAAATCGATGTTATCTTAGTGTTATGTTCAATTCATTAACACTTGAGGAATTTTCATTGGCACTGAATCCTCGACTAACCATGAGAAGTAGGGAGAAGGATGTTTTTGTTCAACTTTCTTCATCGGTAATTTTTTCTAGTTTAATTAAATAAAGTCTCAGTAATGATTGTATGTATATAAAATGAGCTCAAGAAAATGTAATATTATCACGTTATGCATGCATAATTTGATATATAGTTATCGTTTGTGGAAGCTTAAAACGGATAGCAGCAAGTGCTTTCTAAAGTTAAACTAATCGATTGCATTAATTATTTTTATGAATCTAATTGATTGGCAGTTTTTTTTTCTTCAGAACGGTACAACACTGACTAGATTTCGTGTAAAATTTGCCACATTATCAAATCATGCGTCATTTGTGGAATTTATTTCATTCTTTGTTAAAGTTTTACCACCATCAAACATGAGTACTTCATCGGATTTCAGCCAGCCGTTGTCGGTAAATGTTCATAAATAAAATAACTAATTAATTATCCGGAAGCAAATGTATTTAATATCAAATATTAAAACATTGATTGATTATAACATTCAGATAAACATAGTCATTCACATATAAATAAATTGTTTGTATGTGAAATAACTTTGAATAGATTTGATAGTTACAAAAGATTATTTCAATTTTTATTTCAGCAAGGCTGTACTGAAATGAGATCATCCCAGGAAAGCTCTCAACTTAGTTTATTTAGCAGTGATTCTTCGCAGAAATCGATGTAAGTGATACTTTTTTTGTGGATAAATTGAAAGTATGCTCCTAAATATTGGATTATTACTGTGGGATTATTCATTTCATATTTTTTGAATATCAATTATTTAGGAATGTTACCACAATTCTTCCTCCAGAACCTGTTTCTGATTTTTATCCGATGCAGAATCTGACTATTCCTACTTCGTCATCTGCGGTATTATTGTTGTTTGATTTTCCGTTTGTTCAATTCTATTTCTTAAATTTATTTGTTTGTTTTTTCAATTCCAGTATAAGCCTTACGGGTTGTATTTTTGCCAGAAAACTAAAGTTTAATTTTTGTTCTAACTTTTTATATTTCACTTGTAATAATGGTGCCTGCAGACCGTGAAAGCTAAATCTCCTTAATGTCGCGCAAGTTTACTAATCATTTCGTTCTTCCTTACAAAACGCTTATTTAGCGATTGTAATTGAACAATAGAATGCTTCTTTATATTTGAATTAAATAAATGTGAAGAAAAAGAAAATCCTAAAATCGCAATTTTGGAATTTTCGGTACAATTCAATTCCTTAAGAGTATTGTGCTTCCCATTAGTCGGACAGATATTTGAAGCCATTAATCATTTCTGTTACTTCAAACGTTAAAGAAAAAAATGAAGCAGAAAGTTAGTTTCACTACTTCTTCTCACAAAATTTTCCATGTTGCAGTCTTTGGTTGATGAGAAAGTTTATGAAGTGTTGAAACCTATGAAATGTCAAATTCGACATTATTCTGAATCTTCCGAAACTTCACTGGCATCTTTTTCTCAGGTTTTTAAATTAAATTACCACCACATTTGAAAAAAAGAATTTTCAAACAAGTTTGAAATCGAAAGAAATCTTAGAAATTCAAACTTGAATTAAAAGTCTTTAAAATTTTTAAGACCTTAGATATTTTAATGTCTGGAAGTATTGAAATTTAAAATCGAGGTGGAGTAGGAATTCCTGAAATTTTAGATATGAACATTTAGCTCTTTCATTTCAGAGTTCAAGTGCGAGAATATTAAACTGTTTGCAAACTTCAAAAACTGCTGATCAAACAGTTCCTTTTAGTACCGATGATGTAAGTATTTTGCTTGAATTATTGCAAAATAATCATGAGCATTTTTCTCTAACTTTACATGCAAAATTTGCTTCAACAACGTATTTCTGTAGAACAAATAGTTCAGTTTATCGTTTATTTTTTTACATTTCAATATGACATCGTTAAAATTTTGATAACTGACACTGATTCACTGTTTGTTTTTTTTTTTCTTTTTCTCTCTTTGAGAAGACATCTCCAAGAAGGCAGTTCACAACAAAAAGGAACGCTACAGTCTGTAATTTCTATGATACATTACAGAAATATATCGTTTTTTTAAGATGGAAATGGCAGCCACTCAGCCAAGTATAAATTTACCGCTAGCAGCACATTTTAGTGCAGTATGCAATAAAAATTACGAGCAAAAAAATAGACGAAGTGTGGTTGGTGACTGTTTTATTCTTTTTCTATAGTAAAAATTCGTGAACATATTGAAAGCTGTCAATTTTTTCTTAAATTTTATCTAACAAAAATTGGTTGTACTTTGATACTATGAATGGTATGCATGCATTGCACATGTTCAGGAAAAAAATATTTTACTTGTTTTTCCAAATGATACTAAAGAAATCGGAAGTCGGGAAAATCGGAGCCATTCACGCATTATATGATCCAAGATCGAGCACCAAGGTTTTCTGCGCAAAATGGATTAAAGAAAATGCTTAAATGATCGACACTGTCAAATGTCAATCATTCACTTTCTTTAATCCGTTTTGACTCGATCTTGTCAATCAATCAGTATGTTGGTGGATTTTGAGTATATTGAAGCTTCTAACAGTATTAATAATTGCCCTTTAGTATTTCTTTATCATGAACATTTCACATAACTGTGGGTGGATTATAGCTTTTGTTGTACGAGAGAAAATAATCAAATCAGAAGATGAGATTTTAAAAGCTCAATATTAGGCTAATTTTTAATTTTTTAAGGGTATTCAAACTGAACAATGCTTATCGATTAACGATTTTTTGAACGATTCATCACGATTGGAAGAATATTTGAAGGCAAAACTTCAGGATTATCAATTCATGCAACTTGTTGAGAAGTGTTCACAAGTTTATGACACAGTTTTTCGTACAGTGGAAGGTGATTTTCAAAGATTTGTGTCGTTCATGTAACAATTTTTGATTTCATTTGTTTCGTCAAGTGGCATGATTTGAAGCGATCATTTTTTTTAAAAAGTTCATGCAAAAAATTTTTCAATATTTTTTTCAAAAAGTAAATATTGCTGCATGTTGCAATTTTCATAATAAAATGCATTTTTTGTGCTGAAATCATTTCGTTGATATTAAATAATCTTTCAGCTTCATCGGAAATGTTTTCAATTAAGCCAATCATTCCTGCAAAAACGCGACGTTGCAAGAAATAACCGAACTCGCCGGTCTTTTTTTGTGTTGATTATTCTGAAAGTTTTTATCATGTGATGTAATAATGTAGTAATGACTTATCCTGATGATTTCATTAACTTTTATGAATCTTATGAACTCCTCTGAATCTCTGAATCTTGCATACATTAACGTTATATTCTTTCTGTATGTTTCAGTGACTTCGAAATGCTTAACTATTTGCCTTTTTAATTTAGAAATATATTTTGTCGGAGAAAAAGAAGATAAGGATATTTAAGTAATTGTAATACTATCTGTTATCTAGTAATCAGTATGATAATTCTACATTTTTGAACAACATGTGATCATGTTTTTGATTTTTTGAAAAATTATGCTAAACTTATTATGCTAAATTCTATCTACTCTCATTTTTAGTTGTTCATTGATGGATTCTATTAGTTTGAATTGCTTAACAATTTTAGTTTTGGCTGGTACTCTGGTTTAAATTAAAAAAGTAGGTTAGACTACGAATAGTACTCTCGTCCTTCTTTGTTATGAAGGAATATCTCGTTTAAACACGATATTTTGGCAAACTTCTATTCAAGCTTTCTAATTAATTCCTTTCCAAAATATTGGATGATAGACTAATTTTCTTCAGCTAATAATGCTTATATTGTGAAAATTATGCATATTATAAATCGATGTATCCTGTTCAAATTCTTGTAGTTTTTCTGTAATCAACCATTCATTACAATCTTTTGATTTCATTGTTTTTCTGTGACATATATCAGCATTAATTCAATTTTTCCGATCAAATTTTTAGTTTATTGAGTGTTCTACACTCTATCGTTTTATTCTTTTGTCTTCTGCAATGTATTATTTCATAAATGATGGAAGAATTAAAAGTTATAAAGAATATATGAATTTTTTTTTTTTCATAAATATTCGTACAACTTACACTATCCTTCACTTAATAAAATAGAAATAGTATTAACTGTAAAACGAATGAATGCAAATTAACTATTCGGTATTAATGTTTCAAAATGTTTCCAATATTTCATTTTCTTTTTCTTTTTTTCTCGACAGATTAAAGTAAATGGAGGAAGGAAGAAAAAATAGGAGAGAAAGAGCCATTTTTCATTTTTATTTTAAGTTTTATGTTAAATTTATTTAAATCAAAACATACTTTTTTTTTCATTAATGATTCGTTTATTTATTGATTAATTTCGGACAATAGGACATTGATCATTTTCTTACATTTTTTATTTCTCTTTTAAATTATTCTGAATTTATTCAAGATGTTATAATAATTAATTTTTGTGCCAATTTCTTCTTGCATGAATATCTTAAAATCATGAAAATCCTAAAATTAACAAAAGCAAAGGCACAAGAAACAAATGAAAATATAGTTAATTGGCTCACATTAAAAATTGATCTATTTAATGACGATTTAAAGATTGTTGATTTATTAATAAACTTTGATTTAAATTAGCCATCATCATTCATCAACCATCAATAAACACTTTTTTTTTCATCTTATTTTGACATTCCGGATACTTTACATGGTAAACGATTTGAACAATAACTGCAATTTATTTTACAAATCTCAGCAAAAATTACCATCAAAAATTTTT